TCAGGCAATCCTCTTGCCTCAGCCTCCCAAAGTGCTGGGATTACAGGCTGAGCCACCAAGCCCAGCCAACTTTTTTTGGGGTCTTACTCCATCGCCCAGGCTGGAGCGCACGACCTGCTGGGCTCCGGTGATCCTTCCGCCGCAGCCTTTCAAATAACCAGAACTACAGGTGCACATTACCATGCCCGGCAAATTTTTTATTTATTGTAGAGACTAGGTCTCGTCAAGTTACCTGGCTGGTCTGGAACCCACAGGCTCAGACAGTCCACCAGCCTCAGCTTCCCAAAGTGCTGAGAATACAGGCTTGAGCCACTGTGCCCAGCCTCTCCATAACTTTTGAGCACCTACTCTGCAGTGACAAAAGTCATGGAGCCTCTTCCACTTCCATATGGCCTCACCTTCTTCACCTGCTCCTCACCCCATTCAGGCAGCTGTGCCTTGCTGGCACTACCCTGAGGGTACAATTAAAGCCTGGTCAGGAAGAATAAGCACCCATGCTGTATATGACTCATCACCACCTGGACAGTAAATCTGAAAATTCATTCCTTGCCAACTGCTGAATGATGCTGACAGACCCACCCTGCATCTCATCACCCATGGGAAGAGTTGGGTCAAGGCAGTTTTTATCTCCTGTCTCAGCTACTTGTATCACAGAAAGACTTTAAAGCATATCCAAAGCAATTCCTTCTGGATCTACATTGAAAGGCATTTGCAGAGAGTTTCTGAAGCACAGCACTACACACTGGCTGTGCCCCCTGCTCCTGCCCACCCCCTAGCTCACAGAGCAAACAGCTGTTCCCTTCCAGGTTCCAGGTGTGCCTCATTTACACCGAAGCAGCCAGTCAACTCCTGGGACTTCTGAAAGGGAACCCATGACGCCAAGAGCTTTTTGTGTTCTGGATAATAGATCTTGACTTTCTGTAGAACAGGTTTTCTCAATCCTGCCCACTATTGACACTTTAATCCGGATAATTCTGCGTTACAGGGGGCTGTGATGTGTATTGTATGATGTTTTGCAGCATCTCTGGTCTCTACCTTTGATGCCAGTAATGCTCCCTCCAGCTGGGATAACCAAAGATGTTTCCAGATATTACCAGATGTCCCCTGGAGGGCAAAACCATCACTAGTTGAGAACCATTACAATGGAGAAAAACAACTTTTAAAAACACCAACCAGTGCTCTTTCCCTCCCTCCCTCTGAAAGGAAAGATCAGCTTTCCAGGAGACAATCAAGCTGGATCGAGTAGGCCTACTGAGTCCACAACAGGAGTTTTATCTTGGCAACCACATAGACCAAAACAAAACCCCCCAATTGTTTACTCTGGTGAAAGAAAAACTAAAAGGCATAAAAAGAAAACTCAGGAAAACAGAGGTAAGAGGACTTGGAGGTAACAGCAACAATGAGGGAAAAATCATCTTTGTCAGTTCCCGTTTGTGAGCTGACACATCAGCCATGGTTCGCCCACACTTGTGACTCAAACACCAAACATGAGGCCATAGCTAACTTCTTGGGGTCTAAACTCCAAACTTGGTGTTTTCAGGAAGTGTTCCTAAACCAAAGTCCATCTCCTCATTATATGAAAATACAGAGGCCGGGTAGGGTGGCTCCTGCCTGTAAATCCTAGCACTTTGGGAAGCCTAAGTGGGAGAATTGTTTTAGTCCAGGAGTTTGAGACCAGTCTAGACAACATAGAGAGAGACCTCGTCTCTACAAAGAATCAAAAAACCAGCCGGACTCAGTGGCATGTGCCTGTAGTCCTGGCTACTTGGAGGGCTGAGGTAGAAGGACTGCCTGAGCTCAGGAGGTAGATGATGTGGTGAGCTGTGATTGTGCCACTACACTCCAGCCTGGGTGACAGAGTGAGACCCCCCAACTCCAAAAAAAAAAAAAGAAAAAAATATGCATACATACACACAACTGAACCCCACTGTTTTATTACATCAGTTTAAAATGTACGTTCTGGTGTTTTAAATTTTCTTACTGAATCCATTTTACTAAAAAAAACCATATAAAATATCTTTAATATATCTTAGAAAAATTAGCAAAAAATGCAGAAAGTTGAGCATATTATATTGTACAATGTTTCAATAAGAATGTTTGAAAATTATAAATATTTGGTTTCCTTTCAACATAGCTCATCACAAAAAAAAGACATTTTAAAAACTTTTTCACACATAATTCCTGTAAATGATCCCTACTTATTAGGGAAAAGGCCTGATTATGACAAGCTTAAACAATCCTGAAATGTTCTATACATTAACTACAAAAGTAAAACCAAGGGTTTTTTTCAGTCCTTTGATAGGTGAAACCATTTTACATATTAGGAAGAATCCAGTTAGTATCAAAATATCATTCCAAATAGGATTTACTTAATTCATTTCTGTGCTGCCTTTAATTCATAAATATCTATCTTAGCCAAAGCATTGTTTAAAAGGGTTTTTGCCTCCTGGAGCTAGTGCCACTGAAGCCAAGATATAAATCAGTAAGACTGTGCATTAAATAGAAACTTTCTGCACAGCCACACACGTAACCGCTTGGTCTGTCAAAGTCCACACATGACCAGAAAGCAGACAATCCTCAGACTGACGGATAGTCAGGTCCTCAGGAGCCTAGGACTAAAGCAGAGAAGCCCCTGGTGGTGTTTTCAGCTGCAGAACAAGCCAGGTTTAAGGAAGAACATTCTGCAAAGGTGCATGGTCTACTTCCCCACTTCCTCAGATGGAAGTTCACACATCCCACCACCACCCTCCTTAGCCCACGCTGTTTCCACCCCAGAGATTTCACATAGGTCATTAGCTTCTTTGCAAAGTATCCTGTCCTCATTTTGGAATGAGGGATACCGGAATCCTCTTAGGTAATTCATAATCAAACCACAGGAGAAGTTCCAGTCCTCATTTGGGTCTCATGGGTCTAATATATCTGCTAGCTACTAAATAAAATAACACTGATAAGTGGCTGGGCAGAAACCAACACCTAGATTAGTAGTTAAATTTTGAAGGCACAACATGATACAAAATATGTTGGATAATAATCTAAACTTTATAAAGGCAACTTTAAGAACTCATTAAATAAAGTTACATTTTTATTAAACAGCCAAATACCCAAAGACAAAAAATATCTAGAGGCCATTTTATTGGCAAATATTTTCCAGTCATAAAAAGTGATAATTTATGGGAGTATATTCCAGTTTCCTCTCATGTAAATAAATACATACATTGAAATCCCTCAAACGGCACTCCCTCGTGGAGTACATTTATTTGGAATAGCTTCCTTGGTACTTGTATGCAAGCACTAGCATAAGAACACCTGAGGTTCTCTGTCCTCATTTAATACTTGTGGAGAAAGAAGGACTTCAACGGTTTTACTGAATTCTGTCCTTTTTTTGCAACAACTGAATTATCCCCCTATTAACTTACAATTTTAAGCATCATTGTTGTTCATGTAGTTACTGCAGCTTCTAAATTGTAACCAGTGTTAGAAAGCTTGCTTTCATACGTATGATTTTCGATCCCAAAACAGGTTGTATATGGAGACTTTCCTCAACACTCCTTCCAAACCAGATACTTATAAACTGTGGTCCTGATTTCCCTCTTACACTTACTTTTATTGACTATTTCCTTCACTGTCGCCATGGAGGAAGGGAAAAAGCAGAAAAACTGCCTACTTGTCAGAGGCTGACGTTATAGCTCAGCTAATAGAATGACTCGCTATCATCTTTATTATGTTTTGAATCTAGCTACCAGACATACAGTCGACTGCTGTGGCCCAAGTGCGTATAATCTGTTTTATTAATTATTCAAATAATTTTAAATTCAAATTAGCTTCTTTCTACTCCTCAACACAATTCTCTCAGCCTGCCATATACACGGAAGCACAACATTCTCGAGAGAGAGAAAGCACAAAAGAGAAAATTAGGTCGACAGTATGGGCCAAAGGTGAGGTAAGAGGAAAGGAAACGAGAAATGAGAATGGAAAAGAAATGAGAATGACACAGGCCACGTGTATGATGGTTAGGAAAAAAAACATCTTGGTGGAAGCTAGAAAACCTCCACTAACAAGATCACATTCCAGAAGGGCAACCAGAAAATGGCAGTAATTCCATGACTTCTCCATCAGAGCACCAATAGTTAAAGGTATTCCATGTCAAGCAGCACGGAAAGGCAACCAGACTGGCCAATCTAGTTTAAAAGCACATACTCAGCCGGGTACAGTGGTTTATGCCTGTAATCCCAGTGCTTTGGAAGCGGGAGGATGTCTTGAGCTCAGGAGCTCTAGACCAGTCTGGGCAACACAGTGAGACCCTGTGTCTACAAAACACACACACAAGCACACACATAAATCAGCTACTTGAGAGGCTGAGGTGGGAGGATCAGTGAGCTATGATGGCACCACTGCACGCTGGCCTGGGAAACATGGTGAGACACTGTCTCTAAAAATAAAAAATAGTTGGGATCGGTGGTTCAGCCTGTAATCTCGCGCTTTGGGAGGCTGAGGTGAGTGGATTGCCTGAGCCCGCGGGTTCAAGACCCGCCTGGGCAGCGAGACCTCATCACTACAATAAATAAAAAAATCAGCTGGGCGTGGTAGCGCATGCCTGTAATTCCGGCTACTCAGTAGGCTGAGGCGGAAGGATCGCCGGAGCCCAGCAGGTCGAGGATGCGGTGGCCGGGAGTGTACCACTGCACTCCAGTCTGGGTGACAGAGTGAGACTCCAACTCAAAAAAATAAAATAAAATAAAATAATAAAATAAAATAAAAGCACATACTTGAAGGAGGAAATATGCTGCCAAAGGAAAAAGCTGCCACTCAGTTCCACAGTATCCAGTGATACTGAGCACCCACACTCCACACCCTCCAAACCCCACAGACGAGGGAGTCGACTGTGCTGTCTGTACCCCCCTGCCTCATTCAGGGAAGAATCCAAGTGTGCTCAAAGGCAATTTTCAGAAGCAGACGTTTTCAAAGAAAGAGTAAATAAAGAACTTGACACTATCGACATTTTTTGCTTTTCAGGTAGCCCTTACTTGCAAGAAGATAAATAAGGCGGCTTTCTTAGGATATTGACACAATTAGAGGCACTGAAGAAAAGTTAGAAGCAGCAAAGCCCATATCTTTTGTCCTTAGTATAAAGCTCCCTGCCAGGCGGCATCCACATGACTGACAAGCCTCCACAGTACTCAGTCACTCCGTGGTCTTCTTCCCCTTCCAGTTCTTCTCCCTTTCTTCAAGTTCTGCCTCGGTGAAAGCTGCAGGGCCCCAGTGAGTGATCAGGCGAGGGTTCTTTGAACCTAAGAGACAAACATGCTTTACATACAGAAGTGTTATATTCTTCTTTGTACATTATCATTTCTCCGCAGACAAAACAGTGCGTGCATCTATCTATCTATCTATCTATCTATCTATCTATCTATCTATCTATCTATCCATCCATCCACCCACCTATCTATCAAGTTGGAGTCTCACTCTGTCATCCAGGCTGGAGCACAGTGGCATGCTCACAGCTACCCCAGTGTCGACCTGCTGGGCTCTGGCGATCCTACCGTCTCAGCTTTCCAAGTAGCCAGAACTACAGGCATGTGCTACCACACCCAGCTAACATTTAAAATTTTTTACTGTAGAGACAAGGTCTTGTCAAGTTCCCCAAGCTGGTCTCAAACCTGTGGATTCAGGCAATCCACTCACCTCGGCCTCCCAAAGTGCTGGGATTACAGGCTGAGTCACCGAGCCTGGCCCATTTCTACTTTAGTTCTTGGAGGAACATCTGTCAATGTCATGCCAGCTCAAACAACCAGAAGATGTATACAAAGGGGATTTGCTGAGCCTCTTACCTATCAGAGTACAAGTTATTCAAGAGAAATGTACCCTAGATCTCTTGGGTTTCTACAAATTAGGGCTAAAAACACGTTTTCTTAGAAGTACAATTCAAATACATAAATAAAACAAAAATTAGTTTAAAAAGAAATATATGATTATTTCAAAGAGTCTGTTACCTGGTTCTATCAATCGAATTAAACCTTCGTGATGAGCTACTTTGTCCTTCCAGCTCTTGGTTTTACTAGTTGCCAACTCCAGCTTCTTTTTAACTCCCTAGAACAAAAGTGGATTATGGACTATACAGACACAGAGGTAGTTTTGAGAACATAACAACGACTGGGAACTTGTTCTATGTTTATGCTCTATCTCATTAAATCCTCATAGCCATTCTAAGAAGCAGGAAGTGTTATTACCCGCATTGTACAGAGTGAAAACTAGAGTTCAGAGAGTAACTCGAGGTCACAGAGAAGGAAGAAGTGTAGAGCAAGGACTGGAATCCAGGCCATCTGATTCTGAAGCCTACACCATATGCACATTAACTACAGATGAAGACACAGGATCCTTTGCGCCAGTTATAGTTTACTGCCTCTCCACTCCAAATCCACCCTCCGCTGTCCTGCTGGTGGCGCTAGAATACTTCTCCCTCACTATAGTTGGCGGCATTTAAGTATTGTCAGTAGAAGATGCTGAAGGGGCTTTTCTTCTAGGTTCTACTCAGCAGGCTCCTGTGGCATTAAGGACTCCATGCTATGCACACTCAGTGGGTTTTTGTGGCACCTCCTTGTGGACAGCTTCAGCCAATGCCCCGGAGGGTGGCTTTCCAGGGGAAAAAAAGGCTTCTTTTTTCTGCCTGGGCCCTGTCCAAGAAGGTCTGGATCACAGCATTGGTGTCAAGGGGCAAGGAACAAGGGACTCTCTTCCAGATTTGTCCCCTCCCTGAGCACCCTGCCTCAGTCCTGGAGGTGAGGGCTGCTTCCTTCCTGCATCTGCCATTCCTGCATTTTAGAGTCTTTCTTACAGCAAAGTAGGTAATCCCACTACAGTTAACATTTTTTATTAAACTTTCCCTGTTCAAATTATTGTGTACCTTCTCCTGACTGGACTTAGACTGATATACCATATCATCTGCAAACATTTCCCCTCTCTCTTCTTTCTTATAGCTAAGCAAAATTCGTGTTACATACTGACAGTTCAGCAAATACTCTTATTATTGAAAAATGTTTTTGTTGTTGTTGTTGAGTCAGGGTCTCACTCTGTGGCCCAGGCTGGAGTGCAGTGGCACACTCAAAGCTACTGCAGCCTCCACCTGCTGGGTTCAGGCGATCCTTCTGCCTCAGCCTTCCAAGTAGCTGGAACTACAGGTGCGTACCACCACGCCCGGAGAATTTTTGGATTTATTGTAGAGGTCTTGCCAAGTTGCCCAAGCTGGTCTTGAACCCATGAGCTCAGGCAATCCTCTCACCTCAGCCTCCCAAAGTGCTGGGATTAGAGGCGTGAGCCACTGTGCCCAGCCTGAAAAATGTTTATTGAAAAACTAAATACACAAGTTTACAGGGTTGAGTGCCATCACCTCATACTGCTCAAGGGCTTGCTTCCGCTCTAACTCCAGCTGTTCCAGCTGCTCCATCGCCTCCTGAAGGGCCCGCTCCTTCAGGATGCGCTGATTCTCCAGCTCCTGCTTCTCCGCCTCGGTTGTCTGAATGGCCTGCTGCTGCTCCTGGTGCCACTTCTCCAGTTCGGCCCTCTTGGCAGATTCTTCCTCCAACAACCTACAACGTAGAGGAGAGCTCAGGATCAAAGCCTGCCTGGCTCACTACCCTGACCAGCAGATGAGGTGGGCTTTTTTTTTTTTTTTTGAGTCAGGGTCTCACTCTGGGATCCAGGCTGGAGTATAGTGGCACACTCATGACCACTGCAGCCTCGACCTGTTGGGCCCAGGCGATCCTTCCACCTCAACCTTCCAAGTAGTTGGGACTACAGGTGTGTGCCACCATGCCCAGATAATTTTTTGATTTATTGTAGAGATGAGGTCTTACCAAGTTCCCCAGGCTGGTCTTGAATCCCTGAATTCAAGCAATCCTCTCACCTCAGCCTCTCAAAGTACTGGGACTATAGGCTTGAGCCACCATGCCCAGCCTGGTTTTTTTTTTTTGAGTCAGGGTCTCACTCTGGGGCCCAGGCTAAAGTGCAGTGGCCCGATCACAGGTCACTGCAGCCTCTAATTCCTGGACTCAGGAGATCCTTCCGCCTCAGCCTTCTGAGTAGCTGGGACTGTAGGAGTGCTCTACTATGCCTGGCTAATTTTTTCATTTTTTTTTTTTTTTTGTAGAGATGAGGTTTTGCTATGTTACCCAGGCTGGTCTCGAACTCCTGGGCTCAAGCAATCCTCCTGCCTTGGCCTCCCTAAGTGCTGGGAGCCACAGTGCCCAGCTGAGAGAGGCATTTTAGATAAGAGAATATTTGAGGTCATCTAATCCCCCTATCTCATTTACAAGGAGGAAACTAGGAGCCAGAAAACCTTACATTCACAAAACTGGTAATGTGGTCCAAGTGTCCTGTTCCAAGTCCTTTCATTTTCATCATTTTTTTGTAGGGGGGAGAGCGTCAGGCTCGGTGGCTTAGCCTGTAATTCCAACACTTTGGGAGGCTGAAGTGAGTGGACTGCCTGAGCCCGTGGGCTTGAGACCAGGTTGGGCAACTTGGCAAGACCACCTCTCTACAATAAAAAATTAGCCAGGTGTGGTAAGGTGTACCTGTAATTCTGGCTACTTGGAAGACTGAGGCAGCAGGATCGCCAGAGCCCAGCAGGTCAACACTGGGGTGGCCGTGAACTTGCCACTACACTCCAGCCTGGGTGACAGAGTGAGACTCCAACTCAAAAAAAAAAAATTTATGCAGAGCTTAATGTATGCCAGGAATGGAGCTAAAAGTCAAGTGTATTTTCTTAATTAATCCTTACAATAAACTCAGGTGCTATTATTCCTATTTCAGAGATGAAGCACCTGTAATCCCAGCACTTTGGGAGGCTGAGGTGAGTGGATTGCCTGAGCCCACGGGTTCGAGATCAGCCCAGGCAACTTGGCAAGCCCTTGTCTCTACAAAAAAAAAAAAAAAAGCCGGGCATGGTAGCACGCGCCTGTAGTTCTGGCTACTTGGAAGGCTGAGGCAGAAGGATTGCTGGAGCCCAGCAGGTCAATGTTGGGGTGGCAGTGAGTGTGCCACTGCACTACAGCCAGGGTGGCAGAGTGAGACTCCAACTCAAAAAGAAAGAAAGAAAGAAAGAAAACAGACATGAAGCACATAAGGCACAAAGATTAGGTGACCTGCACTTGGTCATTCCCCTGCTGAGTGGCAGGACCAAGCTTTGAAATTTGCCTACAACATCAAAACATTTTTTCATGTAGTAAAAGACTATTATCAAGGAAAAAGCTGATAATTAAAGTGATGAAGATGAAAGGAGAAAGAGTTAACTCAAGGCAGAATAATCACAGAGGTATTATTTATTGAATAATTACTACATGCCAGGCATTTTACCATCATTGTTGCGAATCCTCTAGCAATCCTGCAAGGTATTCTTCCTATGTTACAGAAGAAGCAGTGAAAAAAATCAAAGGGCTTAAAAAATCTGTTATACAGGTTGTAATGGATGTCAACCCAGGTCTGCGTGACTCCAAAATGTTACATTTCAATAACAGGCTACCTACCATAAGAATGCCCAGCTATGTAGGTATTTAAATAAATTAAGACAGCTGAAGCTTGCACTCAAAGTGCAGACAGTGTGGTTCAATGCCAACCTAGGACAGGACATATATCTAGTGGCTTGGCCCTCAGTATTATGGTAACAAAGTCAAGTCACACAGCAGGTCAGGCACTACTGCCTGCGAGCACCTGATCTTCTTAAACCAACAACTAAGGAAATAAAGTAACTGATAATACAGCCATTATATGACCACCCCAACTCTTCCATCTCCAGGCCTAAACCCACACTGGTGTCAGAATTCCTTCTGCAACCTCCTGCAAGGTGGCTATCCAAGCTGGCTCCAATACTCTAGGTGATGGGCAACACTGCCTCACAAATCAGGCTAGTTTATTTATGGGCAGTCTCAATCCTTACAAAGTTCTTCCTTATACTAAGATGAGCTCTCCCATCCACTTCCCTACTTCCAAAGAGGATGGATCTGCTCCCTCTTCCTTGTTAGGGCCCTTTAGCAAATGGAAGGCAGTTCTCATTTCTCACTAAGAATACCCTTCTCCAAGAAGACCATCTCCAGCCTTAACTATTGGGTTCCACCTTCCAGACTCAATATTCTTTTTGAGACAACCTCCAGTTCCTTAGATGTCTCTTGGAGTTTGATGTCCATAACTGAACACGACATTACAAATGTGATCTGAGCAGCGCAGTGTTTATTTATTTAGTCAACATTTATTTCTGGTATACTTATTATGTACCTTCTATATGTTCTTCTAGACATTGGGCATACAACCATGAACAAGACTGGATAGACCTGTTTTCTCATTGCAGTGGTAAAAGTGTGGACAAAGAATGAACACTTCCAGATGCCTAAGCTGCCCAGCCTCTGAATCCCCTCCATGTTCTATGCGGTCTGCCACAGTAGGAGTCTTGATGGGAGGTAGGACCCATCTCCCACTATGGACTCCACAGGACAGACACCTGCCCTCCTACTCTTGGCATCCAGGGTATGGTGGAAGCACGAGTTCCTTCCTGGAACTTTGATAATGAAACAACAGACACAAAGAAGCAGAGTCACTGGAGAATTCATCCTGCTATTAGCAGCAACCCCCAGTGTTGAGTGACAGCAGAAGTGATGGCGTTAGCGCATCCTCACTGGACTTTTCCCATGGCCTGGATTGGGCTGTAGTTGTTGGGACTGCCCATCTTCCCGTGGTTCCTGTCTGTGTTCAAACCCTGGCCACCTGCTTTTCTGTGGAATTGGTGAAGTAGTTAAGCAGCTTCCAATAAATTATTTCATCACTGTAGCTAATACCAGTTGGTCTCTATGGCTTGCGAACAAGACTCCTGACTAAAGAATTTAGTGCCTCATTCTCTTTCTGTGCCTCAGCTTCCTCATTTATAAAAAAAGGAACTGAAACTATACCCACCATCAAAGACCTGTTGATTATTAAATGTGTTAATGCATGGAAGGTGCGCACAAGTTTACCACATAGCATGTTCTGGGTAAGTAACAGCTAATACTATTATAGAGGGATGATGATCTCATCTGTTCTGGACTGCCTACGTGTATGTGAGGTTTTGGCAACCACATCACAAGGAAGTGAAACCACAAGTCTTTTCAAATGAATTGCTATTAAGCCACGTCTCCTGAGTCCTGTACTTGCTCTGTTGATATTTTAAATTAACATCTTGGTCTAAAACCATAATTCCAGCCAGTCAATATCTTTTTTGAATGTTTATTATAGCATTCTATACATTATATATCCTCCCCATCTGCAAAGCAGCACACTCTGAGCAACTACCAAATGCCAGACATTGAGTTGAACACTTTGCACGCATTATCTCATTTCATCTTCACGGCGACCCCACAGGGTTGGCAATTACCTTTATTTTATAGATAAGGAACTAAAAGCTCAAAGGAGTGAAATAACTTCTCTAAAGTTTTATAGCTAGAAAATACCAGAGCTGGGAATTCAACCCAGACCTCACTTGAGAGCCCAGACCCTAACTTTCAAATACATGAAAAGTTGGATGAGTGTGGTGGCTTACACCTGTAATTCCAGTGTGCTGGGAGGCTGAGGTGGGAGGATTACTTCGAGCCCAGGAGTTCAAGACCAGCCTAGGCAATATGGTGAGACTGTACAAAAAAAAAAAATTAGCTGAGCATGGTGGCACGTGCCTTTAGTTCCAGCTACTTGGGAGATGAGTTCCAAGAAAGGATCACCTGAGCTCAGGAAGTCGAGGCTGCAATGAGCCATGATCCTGTCACAGGAGACAGAATTAGACTCCAACTCACAAAAAAAAAAAAGGCTTGGATTCATTCATTCATTCAAAAAATATTCCTTGTGTACTTACTGTTTGCTGGGCACCTCATTAGTTGCTGGGAATATGGCTGTGACTAAGGAGTGCTCCAGGGTCTTACAGACTCAAAGTGGGTAAAAGTTATAATGGGACAGATTATGGCTCAGTCTCAATAACTTTACAATAACTTGAGTTTTATAAATGTTAAATGAACAGTTTTCTTCTGGGTTCTCATTCAGAAGAGGCTAGATATCCTTCAGGATTACACTTGGGGGGGGAAAAACTTCAACTATAATAAAAAAAAGAGAGAGATGACTCAAGCCGAAGTTTTCGTTAGAAATAATTTTTTATACAGAAAAAACTTAAGATAGATAGAGAAAGGACCATCCACTAGAAGAATAACAAGACACAAATATTCTGAGAATGACTTGCTATTGCTTTAAGAAAGGACTGAGAAGTGTTAACTAAAAGGCCCTTTACATAGACCCTTGGCCTAAAGTTATGTTTCATTTCATTAATGTCAGTTTCTAATCCAAGCCCAGGATGACTTTCCTTGTCTTTTCTATCCAAAGAGGTCTATGCTGAGGAGCAAAGAACTAGTCCCCTCAGAATGTCTTTCAGAACCTTAGCAACTTTGGGAAAGAAACTCACTTCATTTAAAAATGACCACTAGAGGGTGCAAATTTGTCAATTTCAAGTTCCAAAAACTAGTAAGAAAAATAATTCAGGCTGGGCACAGTGGCTCACACCTGTAATCCCAGCACTTTTGGAGGCCAAGGTGGGCATGATTGCTTGAGCCCAGGAGTTTGAGACCACTCTGGGCAACACAGCAAAACCTAATATCTACAAAAAGATTGAAAAAGTTAGTCAGGCCTGGTGGTGCACACCTGTGGCCCCAGCTATTCGAGAGACTCAGGTGGAAGGATGGCCTGAGTCCAGGAAGTTGTGGCTGCTGTGAGCCGTGATCATGCCACTGCACTCCAGTATAGGTGACAGTGAGACCCTGACTTTTTATTATTATTATTATTATTTTGAGTTGGAGTCTCACTCTACCATCCAGGCTGGAGGACAGTGGCACACTCACGGCGAGCCCAGCGTCAACCTGCTGGGCTCTAGTAATCCTTCCGCCTCAGTCTTCCAAAAGTAGCCGGAATTACAGGCGCACGCTACCATGCCCGGCTAATTTTTTGATTTATTGTAGAGATGAGGTCTCACCAAGTTGCCGGGGCTGGTATCGAACTGTGGGCTCAGGCAATCCATTCACCTCAACCTCCCAAAATGCTGGGATTACAGGCTGAGTCACTGAGCCCAGCCGTGAGACTCTGACTTTAAAAAAAAAAGGAAAGAAAAATAATTTAGAATTGAAAAATAATTATATTCATAAAATGGTCTTTGATCATCAAGAAAAAGTTAAATTTGTGTGCAGCACTTTCAGTTTACTGGAGTAGAACTGTATATAGTAGTTATATTTGCACTCAAAAGGTTGAAACTATTTTGCTACTTGTTTAAATCACAGTGTACAAAATAACTAGTCAGAGTTTGTTAAACAGCAAATTAGATGTCTGGCTCCTATCCACAGATATTTTGATTCAGTAAATCCAGGGTGAGGCTCCACGTGTGTATCTTTTAAAAACTTTGTTAGGGTGATTCTGATATATATCACTGGTTAAAGACTACTGGCTTCAACAATCCAAAATTGCTCCTTCTTCAAAACATCACTCATTCTATAAACACTAAATAACTGATACTTTAGTAAATTTCAAGCATTATCTGGTTCCCATCATGATCTACTCTCAGCTGTGTCATAATCAACTTTCCTCAAAACTGCAGTAATGGTAGGGTGTGATGGCTCGTCTGTAATCCTAGCACTTTGGGAGGCCAAGGTGAGAGGACTGCCTGAGCCCAGGGGTTCGAGATCAGCCTGGGCAACTTCGTGAGACCTCGTCTCTACAATAAAAATGAAAAAATTAGTCAGGTATGGTAGTGTGCGCCTGTAGTTCCAGCTACTTGGAGCTACTTGGAAGGATCGCCTGAGCCCAGCGGGTTGACACGGGGGTGGCCGTGAGCGTGCCACTGCACTCCAGCTTGGGCGATGGAGGGAGACTTTAACTAACAAAAACCCACCAAAACAAACAAACCAACAAGAATTGCAGTAACACATATAGCGTATCTCATCTGTGAATTCTCTGCACAAGGACAATCCATAAACTCTCAAAGCAGCACAAAATATCAAGAGGCTCAAAAAATGTCTAGTGTTACACAGAATGCCACTCTTTGGAAGTCACATGGTACTCAAATCTTCCCATGCAGTGGATCTTCTGTTAACATCACTGCTTATTGGTACTGGGAGGGAGTTCTGAGAAAACCTGGTTAATCCCAAAGTGCAATGAGCATGTGCCCGTGGGGCCTATAAATACCAGGTGGTGTGGTAAGCACTTAGTCTTTTATTTAGAAGATCATTTTTTCCTTAGTAAAATCTAAGACTTTAAAACCAAGTTATTTTTAAAGTCACTTTTAGCAAAGTATAAAACTAAAGAAGACTTTCCCCCCTCTCTTCCTGTGTAAAGATTAAACATCTTTTGTTGCTCCACATGGAAAATCTACCTGTTTGTCTCATAATTGCTCCCCAAAATGGGATGGGGGGGGAGTGTCACAGCTCAAAGACTAAGCATATCTGCACTGCTACTGCAGCAAATATTTTTTAGTGTTTTCCTCCAACCCCAGACATCTTAAATAATGCAAGTGGGGCAGCAATACAGAAACTGGAGGAGGATAGCTTAAGTTTTCCTTCTGGGGAGGGGGGTCTTCATTTTATTTGGTGCCCCTGCTGCCCAAAATTGAGAGTTCTCATCTGAGAACATGACATCATAAATAATACACCTGACTTTAAAAGCTCTAAGGAAGAAAAAAAAAAATCTAGGTTTCAAAAACTTTCAAAACTAGGAATTCAAATCGTAATTATTGAAGAAATGTCACCAATCCTGAATGACCAAATAGAAACTGCATATTTTCTCCTTATTCCCTACAACATGGCTGCAACTCTGGCCTGAACAGGCTCCTGCCTCTACACCAAGGGTCCTCTCTGGTCTGGAACATGCTGAAGCACCCAAGGTCTCAACAGAGCTGGTTTTGGGTTCATGGACATTCTTGAATCTGGATTAAGGGTATCTCCATCAAACAGCTCTTACATAGGCCTTTATTTAGCCCTGAAGCAAAGGTGACTCCAGAATGAGAAGAAATACCCCAACTGGCCAAGTCTCCAGGGTCTCTACCAATCTGGACAACACTTTGAGCTCAGTCAGCCAGGGCTGAGACACACCTCCCTCTCCACCAGAATGTTAGTTATTCTGAGACATTGGATTAGCCCAAGCAAAGTACATAAAGGCAAAGTCTGCAAACCAATCTGGCACCTGGCCTGAAGCTTCCGCACTGTCTCTTCATCTTGCCGGGCCTGTCTCTCATCCTCAAGAGCCTCCTGCAGCTTTAGGTACATATCTTCCATCTCACGCACTCGCTGCAAATACTGTTCCAGTTCGGAGGACTTTTGGGCAACCTGTTCTTCCATCTGCAGTCTGATCTGATGGTATAAAAGGGTCATGTTTAAATGCATGTTGATTTCTCTCACAGGAAAAGCCTTGTCCTCCACCTCAGAGGTTGCCTACAGCCTCAGCCTTAGCCCATGAGGGTGGCAGGTCCTGTCCTTCACTCTTTGAACTAAAGATGGAGGAGACAAGAGCACCACACCCAATATCAACAGAAAAACAAATTATAATCCAAATGTTGTGTTCCTGCCCTGGTATGCTTTCCATTTCTTCCACTCAACATTTTAAGACTCAAGTCAAGAAAAAATTTCCCTGTATAATTATCTTTAAATTTCTTTCTGTCATAAAGTCACAACCTCTTTATCAAAAGCCTTCTCTAAAAGAAATGAATCTTTTCCCAGTCAGAGCAGTCAAAGAGTTAAAATAAAGGGGAGGCCGGGCTCAGTGGCTCAGTCTGTTATCGCAGCACTTTGGGAGGCCAAGGCAAGTAGATTGCCTGAGCCCGTGGGTTCGAGATCAGTCTGGGCAACTTGGCGGGACCTTGTCTCTACCATCAATCAATAAAGGGGTAAAGGAGAGATTAGCCCACACGGGACTCTTCCTGCACTTTTCTGGTTGCCTCCACCCGTTTTCTCCCTCCCAAGGCACCGCTAGCTCTGGTGGAACTCAAGTGATTCAGTTAGTGTCTTTACACGTTTATAATTTTTCCCTTCAGAATTAAAGAGTTTTGAATCCCCGTCTTGAAAATTAAAAGATAAGAACATCCTAATATACACATTAGCATATGTCTCTAAAGTTTATAAAATATCTTCACTTATGCTGGGCTCATTGGCTCAGCTTGTAATCCCGTGCTTTGGGAGGCTGAGGTGAGTGGATTGCCTGAGCCCATGGGTTCGAGACCCTCCTGGGCAACTTGGCGAGACCTCATCTCTACAATAAATCAAAAATTAGCTGGGCATGGTAGTACGCGCCTGTAGTTCCAGCTACTTGGAAGGCTAAGGCGGAAGGATCGCAGGAGCCCAGCAGGTCGAGGCTGCGGTGGCCGGGAGCGTGGCTCTGCACTCCAGTCTGGGCAACAGAGCGAGACTCCAACTCAAAAAACAACAACAACAACAAAAATATCTTCACTTGTAATAGCTCGCTGTGTCCTCATAAGAGTCATGAGAGATCATATGATAATCCTGCATTTAAAGAAGAGAAGCCAGTGTTCAGTAAGAAAGGGCAGATAGGAAACAAGGCCAGACCTTCTGGCTGCTTCCTGATATAACATGTGGCTTTTTCTGCATGCTTTTCCCTCATAAAACAAACACATCTCTTTCAACTCTAAGCAACAAAAAGTGACCTAATGATATGTCATGTGCATCTATTTGGGCATTGAATGCAGTACTCTCCTGGGATACCACTCAATGTGAGAAGACCTGTGTTCCATTTAACTAGTGAACCACCTAAAGCCACCTGCATCTTCGTTCTCTTGGGAATGGAGCCTCTAAGATGAATCAGAGCTGCCAAGAGCAGCAAACCAAAATTCAGATGTCCTCACAATTTCAGGAACCTCCCTTACCCCCTTTGCTCATTACAGAGGAGAAATATCAAAAAAACTTATGCTTACTTTCCCCACAGCTATTTGTTTTACCAACCAGAACTCTTTTGAAAATGAAAAGGGATGTTATTAATAATTATACCAGCTGGGTACGGTAGCTCATGCCTATAATCCCAGCACTTTGGGAGGCTGAGGTGAAAGGATTGCCTGAGCCCACGGTCTCTACAATAAAGCAAAAAATTAGCCGGAAATGGTGGCACGTATCTGTAGTTCCAGCTACTTGGAAGGCTGAGGCAGGACTGCCTGAGCTCAGTGGGTTGAGGGTACTGTAGCCGTAAGCATGCCAATGCACTCCAGCCTGGGCGATGGAGTGAGACTCCAACTCAAAATAATAATAATAATAATTATACCAGGATCACAAAGACCGTCCTGGACAAACCGTGACATACACTCACCCTAACCAAGCATTTATCACCCCATTCCATAAATTTCTACTTAGAGGTCTTGAAAATAAGGTTTATATTTTTTATCTATGTTTCTTCGATACAGTGCCTGGCACATAGATGGTGCTCAGTAAACAGATAATGAATAGATGAACGAACACATAACTTCCCCAACAGCCCACTGCAAGTCAGTAGCAGAGCCAAGCTGGTAAGATGGCCTCCCTCTAGCCTCCCAGTCCTTTCCACTTCCCCCCCAACCCATGCTGGCTCTGTGAGCGACTGTAGCAGTTTTCCCCAGTCATGTGGTACTCACAAGCTTCTCTCTTTCCAGCTCTGTGCTGAACCGGGCCTGCAGTTCCATTTGAGTCTGAAGGCGTTTCTTTTCCTCTTCTGCTGCACGAGACGCTGCTTCTTCTAGTTTCTACCCAATCAAAAACCCATGCACAGAAAAGAAGGATTATTACAGTAGAATTAAGTACATTGAAGGCGGGAGAAGTAAGTACATTAGAGAGAGTGTGCATGTTACACTTAAACATATGGGAGAGGCCACACATTCTTTATATTCAATAAAGACCTCAGATTCCATTGGAATTCCATTCCAACAATTTGCTGAGTGAACATGCAAAACAAATTAGATAAATGAAAGACTACTGATAAGTCTGAACAACACTTTACAAAGAAAGTTTTAGTACAGTCACTGAGTTAAATTAATTTGCAATTGTATTCATGAGATTTGAGAACTATTTCATCTGACTCATTATGCCTTATAATTTTAACAGAGCCTACCTTTTAGAAGGGTGGCATGAGTTGCTCCATGGATGCTTTCCCTAGCAACTATAAATGGTAAAAATTATTTTAAAAAAAAACCAAAACCTTTGAAAGTCTCTAGAAATTATCCTGAGGGCAAATTGCAAATGAAAAATACTTTGATAAGGCATGGTGACTCATGCTTATAAACCCAGTACTTTGGGAGGCAGAGGCAAGAGGATTGCCTCAGCGAGTGGGTTCAAGACCAGCGTGGGCAACATGGCGAGAACTTGTCTCTACAATAAATCAAAAAATTAGCTGAGTGTGATTGTGCATGCCTGTAGTGTCAGCTACTTGGAAGGCTGAGGTGGAAGGATCATGGAAGTTCAGCAGGTCGAGGCTATGGTGGCCGCGAGCAGCATGCCACTGTTCTCCAGCCTGGGTGACAAAGTGAGACTCCAACTCAAAAAAAAAAAAAAAAAGAAAGAAAGAAAGAAAAATATTTGGATAAGACAATCTACTAAATCTCAGAACAGTGAGGGTCCATGGCATTTGAATTTGATACGCAAGGCACTCCTTCCTGCTCCCCCACAATGTCAGTAAGAAGGAGGCTCTACTCCTGGCAGATGGAACCCAAAACAAGGGCTCCTTCTCCCCTTAACTCATGGTATAGGGCTATGATATCTTCCAGGGAGGGGCAGGCCATCAGAATTTCCCATCATCCCCATGTTGTAGAAGAGTGGCTGAGAGGCCTGGGGGTCTCTTCCTCCAACTGCCCCCACTCACAGGGTAGAAGTCCTAACCTAGATAAGACAGGATAAGAACACTGTCGTAATTCACTTGTAGGGCAGGAGTTGCACACAGGGAGAGGCAAGAGGTGAAGGCTACAACTGCCACCTAGTGACGGGCTCATAAAGCAGGAGTATCACTCCAAAAGAAGTCAGCCACTGCTTTAACCCCCAGCTCCAGAACACTGCACAAAAGTTTTGCCCAGGGACAAAGGCAGGCTGTGACGCTCTCCCCAAAAGAACTGACTTTATTTGAAAGTATGAGGAAGTATGATTGGAAGAATCAACATAAGATGTCCATCCTACCCAAGGCAATCTACAGATTCAACACAATACCCATTAAATTACCAACATCATTCTTCTCAGACCTGAAAATGACAATATAGAAATTCATATGGAAACATAAACGACCACGAATAGCCAAAACAATCCTTAGCAAAAGAAACAAAGCAGGAGGTGTCACATTTTCAGACTTTAAACTTTACTATAAGGCTATAATAATAAAAACAGCCTGGTACTGGCATAAGAACAGGTATATAGACCAATGGAATAGGACAGAGATTCCGGAAGCAAAACCTCAATTTCTCAACCAGCTCATCTTTGACAAAGTCTCTGCCAACAACCACTGGGGAAAAGAGAACTTATTCAGTAAATGGTGCTGGAAAAATTGGCTGACCACATGCAGAAGATTGAAACAGGACCCTTAACCTATCACCACTCACAAAAACCAACTCTAGATGGATCAAAGACCTAAACATAAAACCTCAAACTATGAGAATCTTAGAAAACACAGGAGACACCCTTATGGAAATTGGAATTGGATTAAGCAACCGATTCCTGATCAACATACCAGATGCCCATGCCATAAAAGATAAGATAGACAGGTAAGACATCATCAAACTGAAAAGCTTCTGCAAAGCAAAAGAAACCTTCAAGAGAGTGGGGAGAGAGCCCACAGAATGGGAAAAAATATTTCCTAACTGTATATCTGACACAGGCCTAACATCCAGGATCTATAAGGAACTCAAATGTGCCAAAAGGAAAAAAACAAACAGCCCTATTAAAGAGTGGACAAAAGCTGGGCTCAGTGGCTCAGCCTGTAATCCCGCGCCTTTGGGAGGGTGAGGTGAGTGGATTGCCTGAGCCTACGGGTTCGAGACCCGCCTGGGCAACTTGGCGAGACCTCACCTCTACAATAAATCAAAAGTTAGCTGGGCATGGTAGCGCGTGCCTATAGTTCCAGCTACTTGGAAGGCTGAGGCGAAAGGATCACTGGAGCCCAGCAGGTCGAGGCTGCGGTGGCTGGGAGTGGCCACTGCACTCCAGTCTAGGTGGCAGAGTGAGACTCCAACTCAAAAATAAAATAAAAGAAAAAACGAAAAAAGTGGACAAAAGATACAAATAGACACTTCTCAAAAGAAGACACACGAGCAGCCAACAGATACATGAAAAAAGTAGTCAGCCTCACTAATCATCAAAGAAATGCTAATTAAAATCATACTGAGATACCACCTAACTCCAGTCAGGATGGCCATTATCCATAACTCAAAAAACAACAGGTACTGGAGAGGATTTGGGGACAAGGGAATACTTCTACACTGTTGGTGGGAGTGTATACTAGTACAACCTCTGTGGAAAACAGTGCGGCAACTGCTAAAAGATCTAAAAATTGACCTTCTGTACAACCCAGCAATCCCCTTTTTGGGAGTATACCTGGAGGAACTCAAATCATTCTACAAAAAAGATACCTGCCACACATGTTTACTGCAGCATTATTCACAATAGCAAAAACATGGAACCAATTGTGCTGTCCATCAAAAGTGGACTGGATTAAAAAAATGTGGTACATATAAGAAATGGAATATTATGCAGCCATGAAGAAGGACAAAATTATGGACTTTGCAGCAACTTGGATGGATTTAGAGTCTATCATACTCAGCAATCTATCACAGAAACAAAGAACTGAGTACCACATGTTCTCACTTATAAGCAGACCCTGAGCATTTATTATAACATTGTAAAAAAGGGTTTGGCAGTAGCAGGACATTGCCGGGGGGGGACTATAACATTAATAAGGGTACCTGATCTCAAACCAGGTGAAGTGGGGACCAAAGAGAGACCCAAGCTTTACCTGTACAATATCCACATGTATACATAATCCTGAATTGTACCCCACATATTTTTTTTTAAAACTGCTAAAGACAAGAACAAAAACAAAATCTTGAAATCAGCAAAAAAAAATGATTCACCACACACAAGAGAACTCCAGTAAGTTTAAAAGTTGAATTCTCATCAGAAACGTGCGACCAGTTCTGGCCAAAGTATTGTAAACAGAAATGCAGTGTGACATTTCTGGGTTGAGCACTTACTGCCAAACCCTAGAACATGCTTTCTTCTTGCATAGTGAATAGCAACATTCAGGATGGTAGCTGCTCTATTTACCTGGATTTTCATAATTACAGATGTATACACTCTGACCCAACATTCTCATTTCTGAGAATTTATTCTACAGAGATATCAAAACATGTATGGACATATACAATGACATAGATATTAGATAATTCCTGGTCTGGTAAGGTGGTTCACACCTGCAATCCCAGCATTTTAGGATGCCGAGGCAGGAGGGTTGCTTGGGCCCGGGAGTTTGAAACCATCCTGGGCAACATAGCAAGACCTCATCTCCATAAAAAATAAAAAAAAATTAGCTGGGTGTGGTGACACACATCTATAGACCCAGCTACTTGGAAGGTTGAGGAAGGAAGATTGCTTGAGCCTCAGAGTTCCAGGCCACAGTGAACAATGGTCATGCCACTACACTCTAGCCCGGGTGACAGAAATATAACCTGGACGTTAAAAAGAAAAGAAAAGAAAAAAAAATCCCCATAATATCATCTACTAAAACAACCAAAATATTCACCAATAGGGGTCTGGTTAAGTAAGTAATGACACAGTCATATTTCTGATTTTTTTTTTGGAGTTGTCCAGGCTGTCGAACAGGCCAGAGTGCAGTGGCACATTCACAACCACCCCAGCACTGATCTGCTGGGCTCCAGTGATCCTTCCACCTCAGCCTTCCAAGTAGCTGAAACTATAGACGTGCACTACCACACCAGCTAATTTTTAAAAATTATTGTAGAGACGAGGTCTCACCAAGTTGCCTGGGCTGGTCTCGAACCCACAGGTTCAGGCAATCTACTTGCCTCGGCCTCACAAAGTGCTGGGATTACAGGCTGAGTCACCGAGCCCAGTCTCAGAATGTTATATAGCCATTAAAAAAAAGAGTGAGGAGGCTCTGTTTATAACTCATATAGAAAGACCTCAAGAATATATTAAGTGAAATAAACTAGAAGCAGAACAGTAAGGTTGATTTGTACTTCTTTGCATTTGAAAATGGGAAAAATAAGAACGTATATTCACATTTCCTTACTTTGGGCAAGGGAAAGGAATTAGGTAGAGGGGGAAAGAAGTGAAAGGAAATCCTTAAATTTCTGAACCTATTCAAATTATATTTTAAAAAGAAAAATAGAAATAAAACTTATTTGGGCAAACCCTTTAAATAAATCCATTAATTTATAAAAACTACCATAATTTCTTTTTCCTTCTGACTAAGATGAGGCCTGTCAAGTCTTAAAAACCCACAGATATGTAAACTAATTCCAGGTGATTAAAATATTCATCTAAGCAGTGTTTTCTAAGAACGCTTCAATGAAAAGTAGGAGAATTGTATTTATTGACATGGAAAAGAAAATCAAAGTTTATTAAGGGATCTAAAATAATCTTCCAGCACTTCTCCAAGAATCCCAGACCAGTCATTTAAATAATTCTATAAATGTAGGTAGTGGGAAAGCTGTCTTGGTAGGTCTATACCTTGCCAACACCAGGCATGCATTCACATTACACAGAGCAGGGCACTTACATGATCCAAGGAGGCAGAGTTTAAAGGAGCTTAGAGTTTAAAGGGGCATTCAATGGATGAATCTCAAATGCATGACGCTAAGTGAAAGAGCCCCGTCTGAAAAACTTACATTCTGCATAATTCCATTTTATTGACAGTTTGGAAAAAGCAAAAAGATAGGAACAAAGAAGAGGTCAGTGGTTTTCAGGAGTCAGGGATGAGGGTAAGGTCTGAATACAAAATACAAAATGAATATGAAAAGCTCCAAAACCCAAAACCTTTTGAGTTCTGACATAATGCTTAAAGGAAATGCTCATTGCAGCATTTCAAATCTCAGGTTTCTGGGTCTGGCACGTTCAACCAGGAAATACTGCATATAATGCAAAAATTCCAAAATCCAAAATCTGAAACACTTCTGGTCCTAAGCATGTTGGATAACTGATATTCAACCTGTATTGGCAATATTCTCTCTTAATCCAGGAAGTCGTTTCATGGGTAGTCATTGTATGATTATTTGTAGACACATATTTCACACTCTCCTCTGCATGTATGAGCTGTTTTATAATTTTAACAAATTATAAAAACTGACACCGGCCGGATGCAGTGGCTCAGCCTGTAATCCCAGCACTTTGGGAGGCCGAGGCGAGAGGATTTCCTGAGCTCAGGGGTTTGAGACTAGCCTGGACAACTTGATGAGACCTCGTCTCTAACGATAAATCACAAAAAATTAACTGAGTGGTGGTGTGTGCCTGTAGTTCCAGCAACTTGGAAGGCTGAGGTGAAAGGACCACCATCCTGGGCGACAGAGTGAGACTCCAATTAAAAAAAAAACAAGCCGGGCTCGGTGGCTCAGCCTGTAATCCTGCGCCTTTGGGAGGCTGAGGTGAGTGGATTGCCTGAGCCCGCGGGTTCGAGACCCGCCTGGGCAGCGAGACCTCATTTCTATAATAAATCAAAAAATCAGCCAGGCGTGGTAGCGCATGCCTGTAATTCCGGCTACTTGGAAGGCTGAGGCGGAAGGATCGCCAGAGCCCAGCAGGTCGAGGCTGTGGTGGCCGGGAGCGGCCACTGCACTCCAGTCTGGGTGACAGAGTGAGACTCCAACTCAAAAAAAAAAAAAAAAAAAACCCCAAAAAATGAAAACCAAAAAAACTGACACCAAGCCCAAGCTCCCTGCCCCACCCTCATAACACCAACTCTTCTGATGTGTGCACAGTGGAAGGAGGAAGTAGCAATCATACACTGTAGGTACTCAGTGTTGCTTATCAAGGCAGTTTTTAAAGAAAATGCAATTGCAGGAGACAAAGGCCAAGATCAAGAGTGATTTAAGGGAAAGGGTGGCAAGAACATAGGAGCTGCTTTCACACAGTTAAGTGTGTGACAGCAACAATTGTTTCTAAGATTCTATGCCTACATGGTTCCTGAGATTACAAAAGTTGTCTAAAAAAAATATTTATCTAAGAGTCAGCACACATTATGGCTTTCCTATGGGCTACAAAGGGAGAACCCCACTAGGAATGTAAGCCAGTCCCACATCTCAGGGCAAAGGTTTTGCACAGGAGAGCATAAAAGGGTCTTTGAGCTTTGGTTAGTAGGTGCTTTCTGATTCAAAACAGAGCGGCTCAGCCCAGAGATGTCACAAGTAAGGACCATGCCCCCATACTGGGAACTCATTACCACCCCAGAACTGTGACATAATTCAAGAAGAACATTTCCCAATGAATGTCAACTATCTTATACATACTATGGTATGTGACCTCCTAGTCCCGGAAGGAGAAGCTGACTCAGCTCTATCTTTAACTCCAAATAAGTAAAACCCACAATTCTAAAGTAAGAGTCTCCCAGGGTACTCCTGAGTTAGATGAGAACTAGGGGGAAACTCAGAAACCAACAGACCTTTTCTAGGTCACCAAAAACAACTTTCACATCCTCAGGCTCACATCTTCATGGGAATGAAATTTCCCATTTTTTCTCTGACAAAATTCAACTGTGCTCATTATTATTATAAAGACACCATCCTAATTTATGAAATGTTTTTGCTGCCGAGATCCACATACTTCTGGGGCTGGGAGAAACAGGGTGTTTCACTCAGTGGTCTGGGTACACATCCTGAGAACAGAGTTCACCAAAAACATCTCCCTAAAACTTCACTAACTGAGTCTGGGTGATACCAAAGCCCCTGAGCAAGGCAGCGATGGCGTCTGCAGGGGAGTGAAGAGCCACCCAAGTCCAGCACCCACTCCCACCTTCCTCACGGTCTCCAGCTCCTGCTGCTTATTTTCGTTGGCGGCTTGGAGCTCCTTCATCTGTCGCTCCAACTCCTCCTGCTCAGCCAGCAACTTCTTCCGGAGGTCTTTCCGATGCTGGCGGGCTTCTTTGTGTGGTGGAGGGCTGCCCAGCTTCAACAGGTGAATAGTAGAATGAATGGCTATAAAAGGTATAGGAGAAAGAAGAGGGAAATATTCTTTACTCTTTGTAAGCCTAACATGCAAATGGTAAAGTGGGAAGAAAACCAAGTAGGGAGTTGGAAGACCTGGTATAGACTCTGATTCTGCCACTCAGGAGTGGGGTGACCTTGTACAAGTCACATAATCTCTCGCAGCATCAGTTTCCTCATCTTTAAAATGAGAGAGATAATCTATAAAGTCTCTTCCAGCTCCAAAATTCCATAGCTATATCTATACTTAAAGAGACACCTGATTTGGGAATACTGTACATATTTTAAGAACTTAGGACAATATATTTGACTCCTTTCTCTATACTTTAGCCTGCCTCTCATCTATGCCTTATGAAGTCGTCTCCCTATACATTCTCTTCCTGAAGAGTAATCATTTACTTTAAAAAAAAAATCATTTACATGCATTATCTAATTTTCACATGAATTGATTTCTTTTTCTTTTTCCTTTTTTTTGAGTTGGAGTCTCATTCGGTCACCCAGGCTGGAGTGCAGTGGCACACACACTCACGGCTACCCCAGTGTCGACCTGCTGGGCTCAGGCAATCCTTCCACCTCAGCCTTCCAAGTAGCTGGAACTACAGGCACGCAATACCATGCCCGGCTAATTTATTGTAGAGACGAGGTCTCGCCAAGTTGCCCGGGCTGGTCTCGAACCTGCGGCCTCAGGCAATCCACTCATCTCGGCCTCCCAAAGTGCTGGGATTACAGGCTGAGCCACCGAGCCTGACCAAACTGATTTCTTTCCTGATATTTTTAATTATTTCAATGCAATTTCTTAAATAACCAATACTTTCTTTTTTTTGTTCAGATTCAAAAAGCATAAAGGACATACTGCAAAAGTCTTCCTCCTACTCCTATCTTCCAAGTCCCCGGTTTCTCTTCCTACTAACAACTGATGCCAACAATTTCCTGTGCATCTTTCCTGAGATATTTTAAGCATATACAAATAAATATGTGTCCTCCACCCTCTTCTGATACAAATGGTGAAACAACACACTGTTCTAAGTCTTAGCTGTTTTCACTTTATTTACCTTAGAGAGCTTTCAAAGTCAGTACATAAAATATTATACACAAAATACTACAAAGTACACCATTGTGGAACTACACCATAATTTATGCAATAATTTCCCAATTAATTGACAGTTTATTTGCAATCTATGTCATTTTGAAAATGTACAAGTATATCTGTAATTATCTACTTTCTAATACTCACAACAACACTGAGAAATAGGTACTATTATTGTCCCCATTCCACAGAAAAGAGGTTACAGAATCCATAACTAAACTCAAGAGATTAAGGAAAGAGCATTCAAACCTAGGTGCCCTTGCCTCAAACTCTTAAACCACATGAAAAATGACCACAATTGCCAACATAACATAATTTTACCTATGTCCAAGAATATAATATTCAGAATCTCCTTTAGGATCAAAATAAAAATTTCTGTTTCATTCTTTACTAATTTTGGGGTAATATAGTAGATTAAAAGTTATTAATGGCCAGGCTCGGTGGCTCAGCCTGTAATCCCAGCACTTTGGGAGGCCGAGGTAAGTGGATTGCCTGAGCTCGCGGGTTCGAGACCCGCCTGGGCAACTTGGCGAGACCTCATCTCTACAATAAATCAAAAAATCAGCCGGGCGTGGTAGCGCGCGCCTGTAGTTCCAGCTACTTGGAAGGCTGAGGCGGAAGGATCGCCAGAGCCCAGCAGGTCGAGGCTGCGGTGGCCGGGAGCGGCCACTGCACTCCAGTCTGAGCGACAGAATGAGACTCCAACTCAAAAAAAAAACAACAAAAAAAACAAAGTTATTAATTTGGCTGGGCATGGTGGCTCATGCCTATAATCCCAGCACTTTGGGAAGCCGAGGTAAAAGGTTGCCTGAGCCCACGGGTTCGAAACCAGCCCAGGCAACCTGGCGAGACCTCAACTCTACAAGAAATCAAAAAATTAGCCAGGTGCGGTGGCACATGCCTGTAGTACCAGCTACTTGGAAGGCTGAGGTGGAAGGATCGCCTGAGCCCAGCAGGTCGAGGCTACAGTGACTGTGAGTGTGCCACTGTACTCCAGTCTGGGTGACAGCGTGAGACTCTGACTCAAAGAAAAAGTTATCAATTCAAAAGTTTGTATTCTTGAGATATTTGAAACTAGTGATTTCTTGTGCACATAATGGATCTTGAAAATCGCTTTAAGTATTCAAAAGCTTCTGTGGGAAATTTAGTTTCAAGATGGCTGACTAGGGACATCACATGCCAGTTCTCAGAATGAAGATCAGAGTTGCCAATGGATGCTCAAGTTTTGAGCAGAAAATGGAAGGAGGAGAAACAGGACCTGTTGAAGTGACCATGCAAAAGGTTGGGGCTCAAAGAAACAAACAAAAAAAAGCAGCAAAAGTCTGGCTAAGATGGATCCCTTGAGGAGCTCAGGGTCGAGTGGAAAGAGTAGAAAGGAGTGCTTTTCTACTCCTCTCCCCCCGTGACAATCTACTGACAGCTAAACTGTTGGGGAGCCCTTCTGTCCTTGCAACCTAGGACACCACTGTTGGTGGCAATGAGAGATCTTCCAGAGAACAGAGAACTGGATGGCAAGCCCATGCAGCATGCTGCATGCCCCCTCAGGTCCAGGCCAAGATGGCAGGCACTATACCAGTTACCTTCTTATAGAGCCATTCCCCTGCCCAGGGATCCTCCACGTGTGACCCACTGCATCACCAGACCACCCATAGACTTTTCTGGCAACCTGCTCTCACTTTGGCAAGCACAGTGACTGGCCAGTCTCCAGGGAGTAGTAGATCCCTTAGAGATCTAACATTGGTGTGGACTGTTCCGAATGGACTCAGCGCAGCCAACCAAAGCCCCCTTAGGACAAAGGAAAAGTAGACACTGCACTAGCCACTGAAGCAGGCAACACTAGAGCCCAGGAATGGATGTGGGGGGGCGGGGGAATCTCTCACACCCCACCCCCTCCCCAGTGTACCGTTGTGGATGAAGAGGTGGCTCTCCCTGCTGGAACCTTGGGCAGATGCACGGAAAGAAGCCAATTCTTGTGTTTCTCCTGTAGTTCCATCCCCTCTGACAGAGAGGTGTGCTGGGAGGGCAGAAACTTTTCTTGTTTCTCCAACATTCCCAGACCCACTGAGGGCCAGTGTACAAAGAGTAAAAAGCCTACACCACCAAACAAAAATACATCACTACAACAACCAATGTCTGAGAAAGCCACCACACAAACCTATCTGCATCCAAGGAACTCATACAGAGCCTTGGCCCTCTGAAAGCACCCAGAAACAAAGTCAATTGATTATACACAAAATACACCACAGTCATACTCTCAAGGGGGGAAATAAATAAGTCCCATTCAAACATATCAAAAAAAAAAAAAAAAAAAAAAGAGTCAGATGGGACACAACCAGCACAAGAACTCTGGCAATACAAAAAGCTAGAGTGTTTTATCATCTCCAAAGGATTGCACTAGTTCCTGAGCAATGAGTCCTAATCATATTGAAATATCTGAAATGACAGATATAGAATTCAGAATACAGATGGTAAGGAAACTCAATGAGATCCAAGACAAAGAAGACAGGAAACAATCCAAGATTTGAAAGATGATTAATAAAGAACCAAACTTGAACTTTTGGAATTAAAAAACTCACTACAGAAATTTCAAAACACAGTCGGAAGCCTTAACAACAGACTAGATCAAGTAGAAGAAAGAATTTCAGGGCTTGAAGGCCAGTCCTACAAATCAACTCAGTCAGACAAAAATAAAGAAAAAAGAATTTTTAAAAAATGAATGAAACCTTTTGAGAAATATGTGGTTATGTAAAGCAACCAAACATATGACTTATTGGCACACTTGAGAGAGTAGAAGAGAAAGTAAGCAACTTGGAAAACATATTTGAGGATGCAGGTCAGAAACATTTCCTCAGTCTTGCTAGAGAGGTTGACATACAGATACCAAAAATTCAGAGAACTCCTGCATCCCCAAGGCATATAGTCATCAGACTATCCAAGGTCAACATGAAAGAAAAAAATCTTAAAGACAGCTATAGAAAAGGGAAACCCATCAGACTGACAGTGGTCTTCTCAGCAGAAACCTTAGAAATTAGAAGAGATTGGGAGTACATTTTGAAAGAAAAGAAATGCTGGCAAAAAAATTTCTTTTTTGAGTTGGAGTCTCACTCTGTCACCCAGACGGTAGTGCAGTGGCCGCTCCCGGCCACCGCAGCTTCGACCTGCTGGGCTCCTGTGATCCTTCCGCCTCAGCCTTCTGAGTAGCTGGAACTACAGGCGCATGCTACCAGACCCAGCTAGTTTTTTGATCTATTGTAGAGATGAGGTCTCACCAAGTTGCCCAGGCGGGTCTCGAACCTGCGGGCTCAGGCAATCCACTCACCTCAGCCTCCCAACCAAGCTTCGTAAACGAGGGAGAAATAGAGTCTTTCCCAGACAAGCAATCACTAAGTGAATTCATTACGATCAGATCAGCCCTACTAGAGAAGTTTAAGGGAGTTGTAAACATGGAAACGAACAATACTTGCTACCACAAAAGCACATGTAAGTAAGTACATAGCCCACAGGCCCTATTAACCAACTACAAAATTGAGACTCCAAAGCAACCAGCTGACAACACTAAGACAGGAATAAAAACTCACATTCAGCCTTCCATAAAAACTGTCTAAATGCTCCACTTAAAAGACTTAGAGTGACAAACTGTATAAAAAATAAGATGCATCCTCCTGCTATCTTCAAGAGACCCATCTAACATGAAACAACATCCATAGGGTCAAGGTAAAGGGATGAAGAATGATCTACCATGCAAATACAAAACAGAAAAGAGCAGGCATTACGTTATTTTTTTTTTTTTGGGTTGGAGTCTCACTCTGTCACCCAGACTGGAGTGCAGTGGCCGCTCCCGGTCACCACAGTCTCGACCTGCTGGGCTCCGGCGATCCTTTCGCCTCAGCCTTCCAGTAGCTGG